ACAACAATCATAATAACAACAATATCTAACAGTACAACAATATAATAATAATAATAATAATAATAATAATAACAATAATAATAATACAACAATATGTCATTTGTATCATAATGCAGTGCTAATATCTTCCTGTGCGTTAACAGAATAAAAAGAACACAGTCGCTGTTGCTTTGCGGTAAACAGTCTATCCGTTGACAAAAACAGTGCAAGTACCCTTTAGGGACACGTTGTTATGAAAGTGCTTTTGGTTCCTGCATGCTGAGATCCTATCCTTTATCTCTTAAAGGGAGGTTTCCCGGCGTATTATGGAATGTTCGCTAACACCAAATACACAAATTAATTGGATATAAAGATTCTCCAGTAGAAAATATATTATATAAGTATTCTTGAAAGGAAGTACGGAATTACAAAGATGGATGTGGATTACAATTTATCAGATTTGATTTGGTTACAAGCTGTAAAGAATCTGGTAAACTTGTGGATCGCTTTCTACTCCAGTTAACATCACCGCTGCAAATAAGTTTGTAAAAGAACATCTGGACTGCTCGTGAAAATACGCTCCACGAAATCGCAACCAGCACTACAAGTCTTGTATGTTGCATTACAGTTATGCACCATGTGCTTCGAATTCGAATCACGTGCGAGCGTTATCCATAGTCAAAGATCTGTGTTTATCGTATTCTATGTTTTCTTCAATCGGCAACAAATTTAGGTACAGAAACCCTCACTGTGCTCTTTGCAATCTAGACGGGCTGTCGTTAGAGGGCGAAACTAAACCATCAATTGTAGCACCTTTGTCAATCCTTTTGGATGTAAGCAGAGGCATCCCAGATCCAAACAATAGTAATAGTAATAGTAATGGTAATGGCAATGGCAATGGCAATGGTAGCGGTAACGGTAGCGGCAGCGGCAGCGGTAGTGGTAGTGATAGTGGTAGTGGTAGTGGTAGTGGTAATGGTAATTGTCACCTTATTAGTCACTGTAAAGGATCCACCAGCCACGAACCAAAGGATTTACCACATATGCTCATAATGGTACCTCTTGGACAAGATTACAATCTGAGCAACTGCGCAATCCACTTTCCACTTTTTAACCGTGGAAATTTACTTTAGTGAAAAACCAATCAAAGCAAATGAGATTTCCGTCAGCAAAAGCCATTTTCCCTTCCTGATCCCCCAAACGAACTTTTTCCTAGGAAAAAAATACCGTGATGCTGCAAAGAAATTCAGTTTATATTTTGTGTTCAAAAAACCAGGCTGGACGGAGTTGGAATTATGGTCAGGTTACCATGGAACCCTAGTCACATTACTCTGCAGTACTCATTATTATCGCATTCACTAGCACACTTTTGCCAATCATCTCGCTCTGTTTTCTGCTTTACGTTTACTTGTGCTTTACATAGCTAAGAAATCTGCCTGGAAGATGTCTTATCAGTCTCTCTCTAGCGTTACTGTTACCAAGCAGTCTTTCTCGGTGCAGCAAAGACACGCGAAGTTGATGCCCTTTGCAAACCAGTGGCCATTTTCCTACATTTCTTTGTGCTCGCTGGATTTTCTTGGATGAGTGACATGGCGTTTGATACTGCGAGTACTTTTACTTGCTCAGCAGCTTTTTTGAGACATGTGGAACGTTAGCTGTTGGAATTCATGAATAGTTGATATGCTAGTCCAATATTTACCCCTTATTTTGGGTAAAAAAGAAGAAATCACAGACGGAAGGAAAGCCGACAAGGCGAGCAAAACAAAACCGGGCCCCTCCCTTAGCTCAAGGTCTGGATCCGCCACTGTCTTGCTCCAAAATTAACTGGTATTGATTTAAAAACAA